CTTCCGATAGTCCAGCATATTTGATAATCCGGCACCCCCTGGGTCCTAAAGGTGCCGGATTATTGGAAGTTTACTGTACTTGGAAATATAAATATTTATTGTACATTTGCTTTTCTAAAAATAAAACTCTCTCTAAGCTATTTGAGCTTGGTGACTTCAGTTTTGAATAACATGGAAAAACTTTTGCAAAACTGCTAAGTAATCTTAGAGGGGTAGCCATGTTACTCTGTAACTTTAAATACAAGTGGTCCTGTGACATCTGGTTAGTCTCTTAAGTGCTACAGCGCCACTCATTGTTTAAATAATTTGTCATTTGAATATTAAATTGCTAATTCTAGTTAGTTCTTCTTTAAAAGATTAAGTGAATTCTTTGCTTGTGTAAAGAAGCCAGACTGACAGCACTGGGGACTGAAGTGCTTTCTTTGGCCACAGAACAAGTGCAGCATGTCCAGAGGCACTGTAAGCAAGGTCCTGCCACCTACAAGCCTCAAGCTTGACCTAGAGAGAGTATGCAAATCTCCATTCAGTCTTTTGTCTCTGTGCTTATCTGGCTGTCAATGCTTATTGTAATCATCCATGGTGACTGTGGGATACTTGACTTAGGGTTAGTGGCTTAAAAGAGAGATTCTACTCAAGTCTCTTAGTCTGTTGTACTGTTTCCACAGTTTTTATCACTACAAGTTGGATGTCCTTGGTGTGGCACCCATCAGGGCTCAGCTTCCTTTCCCGGACTCCTGCAACCACAGCTCCGGCCCCACTGCTAGGCCTCAGGCAGGCCCATTCACGCTGCAGCCACTGCTCCTTAGGATACTGAGGTCTCAACGCTGCCCAGGCAGACGCGGCCCTGCCCAGGCTTCCCATCCTGGGCTGCCATAGTCCTACTCTTCCTGCCAGGTGGCAAGCAGCCGCAATTGCGCTCCACCACTTCTGCCCCGGCCCTGCCCTTGCCCAGGCTGCTGCGGCCTTGCTGCTACCAGTCTCGCAGGGCTGCACTGGGCTCCCAGCTGATGGCTCTCCTGCTCTGGGCCTCTTTTATCCAGGAATGGCTGTGGTCATGCTGGACCATGAATGTTGCTGAACCAGAGTCCCAGATTTAGGAGATGCGACCTGTACTGATTTTAGTCTTGTGTAATGTACTGACATATTTTCCCTGTCCCAAATTATTGAGTTCCGATGCAAACGTGGCTCTACAAAATTAATAGATATACACAAGCCTTACACCTAACAGACTGTCTATTTTTGTTTTGTTTCAGTGGATGAAAGATATGTGGCGATCAGATCCATGTTACTCAAGTTATGGTGTGGATGGGTCTACATGCTCTTTTTTTATCTACCTCAGTGAGGTCAGTAAGTCTGTCTTCAAGTGCATAAAACCTACAAAAAAGGATTAAATATTTATGGTAATTTTACTTGTACAATTCATGTTGGAAAAGGGAAACATATCTTTAGTAGGAGTTCTGTGAGGAGACAAAACTAAAATACCACCAAAGAGTGCTGTTAATATTTCGAACCCTGTAGATACGTTTGCCTCAGAGAATTGTACTCTTACCAGTGGGATAGTGCAGATGTAAACAGCAATCAATCCATACGGTTTTATCTGAAGTGTTAGTCACTCATGGTGCTTAAATCAGCTGGTCTAGGTGCATAGCCCTCTCTATATCTTCCCATACTTTCCAGTACAGCTTCCTGAAGCATTAGAGTCTGGAAGGTGTGGAAGAGGCTTGTTGCAAACCCAGAGAATACTTAGAATATAAACCTTAGTGGGGTAGCCACCTGGAGAACACAACTATTTCTGCAGTGTATTCTCAAAAATTGAAGCTCAGTCATTGCTCAGAGACAGTTTTTTCTAGAGGTCCTGAAAATTCATTGCAAGTCTTATTGATCTCATGCAGCCCAGGTGAGTCAGTGAAAGGTATACCAGAAGCAATACGTGGAGATAGCTATAGCTTAGCACGATCTCCAGTTCAGTTTGCAGCTTGTACCAAGCTCTAATGTAGTCAAGACTGTCAAGTCTTTGGCTTTTCATGGCTTCTGAATTCAATTAGTCATTGTTATCTATTAAATCGTCTTAATTATTAGTAACTGCTCTGCAGTGATTTCAGGCAGTGGTGTGGTAAAAAGGCTAAAATTTCCGGTAATGAACACATGAAGATTAATTAATGAAATGCTTTCAATGGTTTTCTCCTTATAGAATTCAGTTGTTCTCTCCTCCTACCTACTACGTTACAGGTATTGAGTACCTCCTTGAAACTTGCAAATCAAGACTTCTTGGATGTTTGAATTTGTGGGGGTTTTCTCTTTGAGTTTTGTTTTTTACATTAGACATATGGCTTTTCCCATTACTTTTGCCTCCAGCTTGCTTCTTCCTCCCATGTTGTTACCATTGTTTGTTTAACTTCTTGAAGGCGGGTATCATTTGCTGACTAAAACACAGTGTGGCAGGCAACTTTCCTTTGCAGCTTTCACTGAATTCTTGTATGGCCTTCGAGACGTTATTTGATCTCTCCATCTTATATTCCCCATTCATAAAATGAGTTGCTTACTTCATAGGGGCATTTATAAGCATTAATGAATGAGGTCACAAAGAGCTTTCACATCTTAGAGAAATATAGCACTGCCATGGACCTCAAGAGGTCAACTACATCTCCTGAGGCAGGACATGTATACCTTGACCATGCCTGACAGGTGTTTGTCCGATCTATTTAAAAAAAAAAAAACTCCAGTGATAGGGATTTTTCAACCTGCTTTGTTAATCTATTCCAGTACTTAACCTTATAATTAAAGCTTCTTCCTAACTTGTAACCTAAATCTGCCTTGCCAGCAGATTAAGCCAGTTAATTCTTATCCTACCTTTAGTAGCCAGGGAGAAAAATGGATCCTTTACCTTTCCTTATGCTTTTCTAAATCTCTTATCATTTTTGTTGCTCTACTCTGAGCTCTTCAGTTTGTCTACATCTTTGGAAAGTGAGGTTCCCAAAACTGGACACCATGCTCCTGCTGAGGCCTCACAAATGTTGAGTAGAATACAATGATTACCTCCTTGTTCTGAGGCCTGTCTATCCTTACAGCTAAATTGGCACTGCTGTGATTGATGCAATTTAGCAGGTCTGGTAAAGACAAGCTAAATTGATGGCAGAGCACTTTCTCATCAATTTCTGTACTTCACCTCCCTGAGAAGCATAAGGTAAGCTACCATGTCTCTTATCGACAAATCATGGTGTAGACACTGCTGTAAGTCAATCTAAAGCCAGGTCTACCCAGGGGGAAGGTAGGCTTAAAGTATGCAATTCCAGCTATGTAAATGTAGCTGGAATCAAAGTACCTTTAGTTGAGGTTGGTGCAATCTCCACAGCAGGAGGTCTACAGGAGAAATGCTCCCGTCAACTTCCCTTACGCCTTGCTGTCATGAGGAGTACCAACACTTACAGTCTTTAAACAAAGACTGTGAATGGCTTGCTAACTACAAAAGCAGCTTCTGTTCTCTTGGAATTCACACCTCCAGATCAGCTGCTAGAAGTGGGCCTCATCCTCCTTGATTGGATCCACCTGGTCATCTCCAGCCTGATCCTGGCCTGCATATTTATTCCTGCCTCTGGAAATTTCCACTACATGCATCTGACGAAGTGGGTCTTTGCCCACGAAAGCTTATGCTCCTACACTTCAGTTAGTCTATAAGGTGCCACAGGACTCCTCGTCGCTTTTGCAGATTCAGACTAACACGGCTACCCCTCTGATACTTAACACTTACAGGGGTGCCCTCAGCGTTCAGTTTAGCAGGTCTTTACTAGACCCACTAAATCGATGCCTGGAAGGTCAATCAAAAGAGCGTCAATTCTCCAGTAAGTGGAGACATGGCCTAAGTTACATAAAGCCCATCTATCACAGCAGTGCCAATTAGCTGTAAGTATATACCTAGGAAAATGTAACTTATATTCCTGAATCGTGTTAGCCTTTTTTAAAGTGCATTATAAGTTTGGGTCCTGTTTAATTTCCGATCCATTATAACCTTATTGGTAATCAATCAGTGATCAATAATTTGTCAATAATCAATAACCAATTAATTGATAAGCAGTCATTGATAACAGTTGCAACTGTGATTATATTTAATGAAAGCAGTTCCCTTGAGGCTGGATTGGTTTAATTACAAAACTTAGGTAATAAACTTTGGTTGGACTTATTGATTTAACTCATAATGAAGACAACACTTATTCTGAGAAGCGTATATGTACCAACAGCTGCTGAAGACTGTCCAGTCTGCATATGTTCCATTGCATCTTTCCAGATGTCTCAACACCTGTTGGTTTGTCATTATTTGTCCTTTTTATAAGGCTTTAAAATAGTGTTAGACAATGTGAGTGTCATGCAGTTTCTGATTTTTCCATTGTATTTGCAGTGCTCTACATCAAGCTCTTTTCTTCAAGTCTTTTAGTTTGTATGTTCATAGTCTGTAACTCCTACAGATCTTACAGCATTTCCTAGATTTGTCAAAGAGCATGCTCTCTGACATGCATAGAATATGAAACTCACTATTATATACATTAGTTTATAGTACTGATGTAGTTCAGGTCAGTTGGCTAGCCCTGGACCATCACAGCTAGGTGGAAACATGAAGATTTTAAGGCCATTAAACAATCTTGTCTGACCTCATGTATAACACATGCCATAAAACTTCACCTACCTTGAGCTGAATAACTTGTGACTCAAGTAAGTTTCACTGGACCATTGCTTTGAAATAAGATACTATTATTAAGTAAAATGTTAAACAATATGAAGCAATTTGATATGAAGCAAAATGGTTTTTATGCAGCATGTATTCTTGGGCAGAGTACATCTTGGTTTTTTAGCCTTTTACATCTGGAAGGATGGATGTGCATACAATCTAAAATAAATGATAGGAGAGCTATCTAATGCTAATTAGGTAACTGTACATTTACAAAATGCCAGAGAAATAAGGTAGAATAAAACTGACTCATTTATGAATTTCATAATTAAGCCATTGTGAGTGTATGTAAATATATAATTTAAATATGTTAGCTTCCTTCTATTTCTATAAATAGGCTTTTCTGCTACCTGAAATATTTTGGAAAACTAATTTATTTTTCCTTTCACTAAAAGAGATTTGTTCCATCAGTCTTGTACCAGATGACATATATTTCTAATGCCCTTCAATTTGTACATGTTGCTTCCATTGTAATTACCATGGCAGCTTAAGAGATTGAGTGATTGACAAGGATTTAGGATGTTTGCAGACTATTTCAAATGACTTTTTAAGTAACATTGATGAATTTGTGTGATTTTTTTGTTTTGTTTGTGCTATATGTAGTATAACAGAGGAACAGTTCTTTACTTATCAATTTGTTTTTGTATTTAGGGAAGAACTGACAGAAAGGTCTTTGCTTTTTAGAGTTCTCCTTTGACAGTATGTAAAACTAATATTGGTTGAACATGCTATTAACCTTGAGTTTAAATTCAGCATACTTAATCTCATGATTAATGCCATGATTAATGCCCAACAGCAAAGGTTGAAAGCTTAAATGTTTGTGAATGCAAGCATGAAATGAAATTCTAATAACTACTACAATGGTGTGGATTTATGAGCTGTGTTGGCTGCTAAAGATAACTTGGAAATGGTGTTGCACAGAGTAATTTGTCAAAGTGGGTCATGATGGAGAATTGATGGTTTATGATATGGGTGAAAAGCTGAATGACAAATTTGGTGGTGGATTGGGGGAAGAGGGCAGATATCTTAAAATATTAAAATTAATTACTGTAGCAGGGAAAAGATCCTGCTTAAGTTTTTTTCTTTTTTTACCATTCCACCTAAAAGATCATTACATAGGTTTAATACAATTTATATATATAAAATAGACATAGATATACTCTTTCTCCCCTAGCTAAATCTATAATCTAGAGATGCGAAGATGTAACCATGCAAACAGTTAACCGATGAGCCTGGGTTAATGTTCATTTATATGCAGGCTCCCGGTACATACAGGGAGCTAGCTTAAAAGCTGGCTCCCCATGCGCACCAGCTCCCATTGGGCCAACTGCTGCCCCATTTGTAATTGAACTTTCAGCAGTTACACGGTTACTTAATTATGTGCATTTTAACATCCCTACTATAATCTAGTATGAGGAACATGCACGTTTTTTTCAGACCTCTCTTCAGAATGCACTGCTTCCATGAATGCACTGCTTCCCTTCGTTGATAATTTGGTTTGTATTTATAGCTCTCAGAATACTTTGCAAAGGTATCTAAATTTTCAATTTCTGCAATGGAGATTGGCTAGGCATACTTAGGTAAGCCACATTTCAGATATAAGCAGTCCTGTAACACCAAATTCTCAAGTAGATATTTGCCATAAACAGTGAGCAATATTTTCCTCTGCCTGGCTTTAACAATGCATAATAATGCTTAATATATTCCCCTTTCCACCAAATATACATCACCTTTTTAAAATCCTTCCATGAGACTGGCATAAGCAACTGCACATAAGGACTTCCCACAACATCTGACATCCACTGGAGCAATGGTACTACCAGTCTCGAGTGAAATTTGTATGTTCAAGAGACAAAGCTTTCTGTGCCGATGGTCCACAACTCATTGTTAGAGAAGTCTAAAATTAAGATGGTCTCAGTGCTTAGAGGGAAAAAACATAAAACCTAGTTCTTCAGCTTGTCTCTGCCCAGTCTTCCCACCATAATCCCATTTTAAAAGAAAATGAAATCACTTTACTGAATTAGGAAAGGAAAACTGCATATAACTTTGTGTTCCCTTCTGTACATTTATAAGTCTCTCCAGTGCCACAGTAATGGGCATGGGGGGAAAAAAGCGACATTCTTCACTGCTCATTCAGTAGCTGCAGAAACCTTAAACCCAGAATACATTTCTGAGAGAAGCTATTTGAATAGCTAGAAACTGCAAAGCCATTTCAAAATAATCTGTATTATACCTTGCAGACAATAATAAGATTGTCAGCAAATTGCATAGAAGTCAAAATAATTGTGGGAGAGGATTGAAGATATAAACACCTCATCATATTGAGTATTGAATGTGATATTTGCGTTGGACACCTGATTGTTATTTATATCCATTATAGTAGATACTAAGTAGTGGTATTGTAGCCATTTTTGCTTCAAGATACTAGAGAGAGAAGGTGGGAGAGTCGTTATTTTTATTGGTGAAAGAGAGATGAGAAACTCTGAGTATACTTCATAAACTTGAAGACAAGCTTTGTGTTAGTATGAAACTTCTCTCACCAGCAGAAGTTGGTTCACTAAAATATTATCTCACCCATCTTCTTTCTTGTAGATGATAAGATCTTTTACTAGGAGAAGCCCCATTATACTGGGCCTTTTACAGAGCCATAGTAGTATAGACCCTGACTGTTTGCTCTGCCGTATAATTTAAGACAAACCACAAGAATGGATATAACAAAAAAAGCAAGAGCAGGAGAGGGAAGAGTAAGGGAATAATAGCAAGTGCATGCATGAGCACAGGCCATCAATGTACCAGCAGTGTTTTTAATCCACCAACATAAAATGTAGCAAGAATAGCCTGTATACAGTACCATTCCACCACAGAGAAGAATTTGCTTGTATGGAAATGGCCAGTGACATAATATTCAAACTTGTTTCTATTTGCACCAAATTAATATATTTCCTTTAATAACTTGTATTTTCTTTTAGGGAAGAATATGCCCTTAAACTATTGATGTTTCAGTGCTCAGATCTTTGTACTACCCAAACATTCTGATGTCCCAAACAACAAAAAGTATAGATTCTACATCAGGGGTTCCCAACCTTTTTTGGTCCCCGTACCCTCTTGGCTTTTAGTAAACCTTCCCATACCCCCTCTTCAATATGAAAGGAAATAAATTCTAGACTTTAGAATCCACAACTTTTTTCACTAACACTACTACTTTTGGAATTTTCAATTAGGATAATCTAGTTATTTACCAAATATTCCCCATACCTCCTTGACAAGCTTCTTGTACCACCCGGGGGTACTCGTACCCCCCAGTTGGGAACCCCTTTTCTACATATTTCCTCTACACTGGGCTAGTAAAAATCAATAGCATGTTGATGTCCATATGTAGGGGAGAGCAACTCATTTATTTTTTATTTCTGTAGTAAAAAGCTGTATGTTATTGTGAACTCCTCTCCTTTCTCAGAGCTCAGCATGTTAACTTAAAAGTTTAAATGTGGCCTGATTTCTCCCCCTCCTCCCACCAACAGGGTACCTACTACCCTTTGAACTGGATGGCATGGTACTCTAATATGGTACTCTAATATGGGGAGATTATCTGGTTCCCCATCCTCAGTTGCTTATTGGGCATCTCCTGAGCATGTATAGTTAATTCATTTTTCTCCTGCTGCATACCTAGTGCGTGGTCAGTCCTGTTGCTTTCACTCTGTTGCCATTATCCACTAAGGCAAAAGAAGGATTTTCTGTTGGTTGAGTTTTGGCTTGAGTAGGATTTGTTAATGTCTGTCTGCAAACCAGGACTAAAACTGTGCTCTTAATTTTTCACTCCCAAATTCTCCTTCCCACTTTTTCTTGATCTTTGTGGATAGCACCACCCCCTTGCCTGTCACTTAGGCATCATCTTCAGCTCAGACCTCTTTAAGCCCTCAATCAAGTCTGACTCAAGGGTAGCTGAATTAATCTGAGCAGACTGAGGCTTGTGTTTGGATCCCCAGTGCTTTTCATGTGTTCAAGAGACTCATAAGAGTAACATTTACTTGGGCTTTCCCCTTGGCATTGTGTTCAATAATTAGGGTTACCAGGAGGAGACTGGTACTAGGTGATATGGGGTTAGCCATTCTCCTTCCTCCTTTTTCCTCTCGCGGAGTGTGCCTCTTCTGTACAAAGCTACAAGGGTAGCAGCTAGTGCCATGGTTCCCCTCTTATTATTATTACAAGCTGAGTGCACAGCTCACAGCTGTGGTGCAGCAGACTTAGGGGCAGCAGGATGCAGCGGCGACATGGAGCGGGTGAGTGGGCTGCACGGGAGGGCAGGGCGTGGGAAGACTTGAGGGGCACCAGCTTGGGAGGCCAAGTGAGGGATGAGCGGAGCACGGTGGGCAGAGAGTTACTGCCAGCCCCACCCCTCGCAGTATCCTCCACTTCTCTTTGTCCCTGGGCCCGATGTGCTGCTTGGAGAAGGCATTGTTCCACTGCAGAAGCTGCTCAATGGACTGGAAGGCGCTGCCCCCACTGTACTCTGCTGCCCCAACTGTCCCTACCTACCTGACAGGCTGTCCCAAGGGTGCAGGAACAGCATGGGGCCCCAGCCTGCGAGCCGCCCACCTCAGTGGGCACAGTCTGTATGGTACTGCCACCGCCAACTCTCTGCTGGCCACTTGCTTGGGAGACATGGAGCCCCACCCCTAGCCCCAGCCAATGGCAGCCCAAGAGGGAGAAGGCTTGACCACGCCACGCCCAACCCTGCCCTTCATGCCACCTGCCACTGCCGCCACAGGGCGGGATTCCCCTCAACTCATAGTTTCTCACTCATTCTGGCATTTTCTAGAATCTTCTCAAGTCTTCCAGTGTATCCTCAAATGTTCTCTGTAACAGAGGGCATGACGGATACCTCTCCTTTTATAATAGTACAATCCCTCACTCCTTATGATTACCTGCCTTTGTCTTGACATCGATATTGTGGTACCATTTGGTGATTAAATGCATGTGTTCTCCTGTGTCATCTGTACCATCCTCCCTGTCATTACTTCCCAATGACCCTCCTCACTGGCAATATAATATTTCTTATCTAGATGGATAAAGGAGAACTCAAACGTACAGGGTAGAATAGTTGTCCATTTTTTAAAATCAAGTTTATAGGTTTTATAGCCATGTCCTTTGAACTGGGTAACCTATTGCAAAGTATTTTTTATTATTCCCTTTTTGCCTAATAAAAAGCAACCAGCTATTGAAAATTGCCTTCTATAAATTATATTTAAAGTATGTGTAGAGCTTTTTCTGTCTCTTACATTTTTCCTTGGGTATCGATTTATGCATCTTTGATGTCTTATCCTGAGAAGACACATCACAACAGCGAATGGCTTTGTTTTAGGCTGACTTTGTATTG